TGCCATAGGTCTATACCTGCCATAGATCTATACCTGCCATAGGTCTATACCTGCCATAGATCTATATGTATACCCAGATAGTATGCAACCAAGAACAACGACTTCAAGGCCAGGAGCAAGTTCAGGTCAAGGTTATTGTCATTCGCATCACATGTGGTACATAAGGTGGAACAGAATTGTGTACTCAGGGTCCCAGTTACACCTAAAAATAGCAGAAATATAAAGTGTAAAAAGAAACAGTACGGCATATACAGTAGATAAATGTAAAGTACTTATCTAAATGTAAATGTACTGTACTTACAGTATACTGTATATAGCTTAGTACAAGTACAGTCCATATTTGTTTGTTTGTGCAGAGAATCAGGTTAAAGTTATTTCTTAACATTTTTAATCCCACTGACAGTGAACGCACCAACAGCGTGATGACCTCAGCATCTTTTAAATTCACTCAACCTTTGTTTCTACAGGTTAGTCCCACTGAGCCTCTGGGGCTCATTTACAGAGAGACCTGATTCTAACAAAGGGCGATGACAACAGACAATCACGAAGGACGCATCCAAATTTATTTTTTATTTTTTAACAAATGAAAATAAAACGGTAATTAAAAGGATAATTAACAGGAAAAGTAGTAAAAAACAGCTAAGATTCTAAGGCGGTGTAGAAAAGTAAAAACAGGAACATGTGTGCGTTCATGGCAGCTCTGTGATGAATCCGTTGTTTAATTTGATGCTCACAGCCCAGAGGCTCAGTGGGATTAACCTGCAGAAATAAAGGTTGAATGAATGTCGTCACGTCGTCGAGCAGCAAACGTCTCTTTTCACGTGTCGACCGTTTCAGCTCTGCTACTACCTCGCTTCACAGTACGAAGGACACTTTTACTTTTTAAAAGCTGCAGATTCCTGCTCCGTCCTGACCATCAGCCGACTGCAGCCGCTCTCTCAAGTCCTCGCCTTCCAGCTGCTTCAGATTTTGTTTCACCTACAGAATCGCTCGTCGCGTCTTATTCTTATCGAATTCTTTTAAAAGTTGGCAGAGACCCCGCAGGAGGAGGAACAAACTAATCGCTGTGGTTTTTTAGGTGGGACTTTTTGTAGTGAACCTCAGTGAGCTGGATTCAGCTGAACTTAGGTTCTAACAGATTCATGGTGAAACATTGACGCAGGAACAAAAACCAACTTTTCATTTCTCCCTTTTCACAACGAAGCTCCGCTGGAGCCTGAGAACCTGAAACGTTTAACTCGATTAAAGGCTGCTTCTCCAGACGACCTCCGAGGGATCACAGAAGCTGAGACAGCCTTTAAGAACTCCGTTTCTCTTTATTCCAACACATCGGTGAATATATGTCTTATATTAACGCATCCACGTGTAATAAACGTTTAATTTAAAGCACGCCGGCTGCAGAGAAGCATGAAATAACTGCTCTCAAGTGAATATAAAACATGCTCGGAACCTGGAACGTGCCGCAGGCGTGAGGAACGTCACGGGGCCTGAGGAGGCCTCAGCAGGAGAGGGTGTCCACGGCCTTCATCAGAAGCTCCTCCTTCCGGAGTTTGGCCCCGACAGGAACTCCTCTCTGGTGGAGCCACAGCAGCAGAGTGGCGGAGCTCAGCTTCGACAGCTGAGGAGGAGGAGGAGAGAACTTCAACCAGAGAACACCGTGTAGACGGGACAAAAACAGTGATCGGTGAACCAAGCGGTGACCTCTGACCTCTGCTGGGGTCAGTCCTGCAGCAGATAAGACGGACAAACTGACGTTTGGACTTTGATGCTCCGTAAAGACGTGGGAATAAGGAGGGTCTGGAAAAGTTCACCGCTGTTGTGCTGCCAAAGGTCAGAGGTCATGGCTCCTGATGGGAACCGTCGTTCCAACGTGTTTTTACCACTTTATTCAGAAAGCACTTAAAAACAGCAGCTAGGACAACCTTTTTTGTTTCGTCTAAATTTGTAGCACGGAAACACACAGCCGAAACAAGACAAACGAGCGAAGAGTCGCTAAAATAATGTTAGCTTCTGCAAAGCATCAGTCTGAACAATACAACACAGAGAAGAAGCTTAAATCAGCAAAACCCTGACTGAAAGCTACAATTAGCACAAATGTAGCAAGAAGCTAAAATAGCACTGTTGCTAAAAACTACATTTAGCCAATATAGTGATTAAAAGCTAAATGTAGCTAAATTGTAACCTAGAGCTAAAATTTGCAAAGCCATAACTTAAAGTTAAAAATAGAAAAAATTGTAGATAAAAGCCTAAATTTGCAAACCACAGCTAAACACCATTCAGCTAAACTGTAGCTAAAAGCTCAAACTGGGAAAAATAGCTAAAAGCTCAAAAGCACAGCTAAAAGCTGAATGTGGCAAAACTGCAAAAAAATGTGTTAAACTAGGAGTTTAATTTAAGCCATTATTGAAAAAATAACACAGCTAAAATGCAAAACGCAGCTAAAAGCTCCCTTTGGGAAAAATATAGCCAACACAAAGTGTACCTTTAGCTAAAACAAAATTAGCATAAAGTGAGCTAAAAGCTAAAACTGACACTGTTGCTAAAAACTTCATTTAGCAAAATAGTGATTAAAATCTAAATGTAGCTAAATTTTAGCCTAAAGCTAAATTTTTGCAAAGCCATAACTTAATTAGCATAAAGTGAGGTAAAAGCTATTTAGCAACAGTAGCTAAAAGCTAAAGAGTCGGCAGCCGAAGCAGATTTTAAGAACGTTAAAGGAAGCTAAAGGACTAAAATAAAGAAAACATTTTGTAAAAATAAATAAATAAATAAAAATAAAAATGAGCACATAGCATAGTTGTTCCTGAACAAGTCACAGGTTATATCTGAACAGTTACAACAGCCGAAAGTGTGCATAAGTAGTAGCTAAAGGATTTGAAACTTTCAGGTGTAAATCAGCTAAAGAAAATTTTAGGCTTTGTCTTTAAGGACAACAGCTGCAGCTGACCCAAACGGACGGTGGCAGATGTTAGTTCTTGGTCTCAGGAAAGAACGAATCTCCGTGTTCGGCTCTTATTTCCTCATTCAGCTCGTCTCAGATGACTGGGAGCATCAGGGTGATGGATTCAGGTGAGCCTGAAGAACAGCTAACACTCACCAACATCTGCAGGGAGGTGGTGGAGCAACGTTAAAGTGATGGATGTCCAGGAGGAGGCGCGTGGCTCGCCGTAGCCCCCGCAGATTAACAAGAACATCCATCAGTTTCACAGCACCGAGCCGAAGGTTCTCAACAACAAACAGTCAGTTCAGCTGTTTTACTTTCAGCTGCAGCTCTCTAACTGTGGTTCTGGAGGAGAGAAAGAACCTGAGGACCGCTTCGACTTCTGGACTCTCATGTCTGTTCTCATACAGACACAAGACTGGTTCTGACTCTAGGAGGCTTTTGTAACGCCTGAAAGACCCCCGGAGCAGAGAGAGGTGGGCTAACAGACAAAAGACCAGGTGTTGGAGGGTTTGGAGGACCTGACGAGACCAGATGTTGGAGGGTTTGGAGGACCTGACGAGACCAGATGTTGGAAGGTTTGGAGGACCTGATGAGACCAGATGTTGGAAGGTTTGGAGGACCTGGGAAGTCCAGATGTTGGAAGGTTTGGAGGACCTGACGAGACCAGATGTTGGAGGGTTTGGAGGACCTGGGAAGTCCAGATGTTGGAGGGTTTGGAGGACCTGACGAGACCAGATGTTGGAGGGTTTGGAGGACCTGACGAGACCAGATGTTTGAAGGTTTGGAGGACCTGACGAGACAAGATGTTGGAAGGTTTGGAGGACCTGGGAAGTCCAGATGTTGGAGGGTTTGGAGGACCTGACGAGACCAGATGTTGGAGGGTTTGGAGGACCTGGGAAGACAAGATGTTGGAGGTTTTGGAGGACCTAAGTAGGCCACCTTTTGGAGGTTCTGGAGGGAATGTTGTCCCATTCTAGTCTGATGGAGGACTCTAGCTGTCCTTCAATCCTGGATCTTCTCTCCTTCTTGCCTCAGGATAGAAGCTGTTCCTCAGTCTAGTGGTTCTACACTTAATGCTCCTTAACCTCCTTCCTGAGGGGAGTGGGGCAAAAAGTGTGTGTGCTGGGTGAGTGTGGTCCTTCATGATGCAGGTGGCCCTCTTCCTGCATCTGGAGGTGTAGATGTCTGTGATGGTGGGGAGGCTGACTCCAACATCTTCTGTGCAGCCTTCACCACTCTCTGCAAAGCTTTTCTTTCTGCAGCTGTGCAGCCTCCATGCCACACGTTGATGCTGGAGCACAGGATGCTCTCCACTGCACACCTGTAGAAGGAGGTGAGGACTGAGCTTCCCAGTCCAGCTCGTCTCAGCTGCCTGAGGATGTAGAGTCTCTGATGAACTTTCTTCATCAGGCTGGTGGTGTTGTTGCTCCAGCTGAGGTTGTTGTTTAGGTGCACACCCAAGTACTTGTAGCTGGAGACCACTTCCACTGCAGATCCTCCTATGTTCGGGGGTGGGGGGTAGGTCTGTTTGTTCCTTCTGAAGTCCACAACCAGCTCCTTCGTCTTCTTCACATTGATGTGAAGGTTGTTCTTCCTGCACCAGTTCTCCAGGTGTTCCACCTCCTGCCTTCAGCTGGACTCATCGTTGTTTGTGATGCATCCCACTACCGCTGTATCATCTGCAAACTTTACAATGTGACAGCCTGGATGGGTAGCTGCACAATCATACGTGAGCAGAGTAAACAGGAAAAGGCTCAGCACACATCCCTGAGGAGAGCCAGTACTGAGGGTTATGGTGGAGGAGAAGAAGTTATGGATCCTCACTGACTGTGGTCTGTTTGTTAAAAAGCCTAGTACCCTGTTACAAATGGAGGGGCTTAGTCCTAGTGTGAATAGTTTGTCCATCAGGGTTTGGGGGATCATGGTGTTGAAGACAGATGTGAAGTCCACAAAGAGCATACGGACGTAGGAGTTCTTCTGCTCCAGGTGGGTGAGAGCAGTGTGGACCACAGAGGAGATGGCGTCCTCTGTTGATCAATTCTTGCGGTATGCGTACTGGTGAGGGTCCTTGTTGATGTTGATGGATGTTCTGATGTGGGTCATGACCAGTTTTTCAGTCATTCAACATTTATTTAGACAGATAAGTCACATTGAGCCTAGAAGACTCATTTACAAGTGAGATTTGTTTAGACAGACAAAAAGTAGTGAAACTGGACACATGTAGGAATTGGAGGTGAAAAAATTCCTATCAAACTTTTTTTTTCATGCCTGAGAAGAAAAAACTGATATTAAAAAACACCTTGCACAAACAAGCACATAGTGATGTAGACATTCTGCAGAGGGGGAGACAACGAGAGCCGTGAGCAATGTTCATAGATGATCTCGAGAGCATTGTAAGAGTTCTGATAAAGATGGAATAATCAGTCAATGTCCTACGGTGAGATCCGTAAACATCCTCGAGGGATGTCGAGAAATGGCCAAGAATAACATCTATGAGAATCCAAGAGTCCTGAAATGATGACACAAGTTTATTCAGCTGATTCATCTGGTTATCAGTTGGAAATTCCTCAGGGAGGGGGTGGTGAGCGTCAGATCACATGTTCTCCAGGCAAATTCAGATAAGATGACCTTCAAGACCAGCCGAGGGTGCCAAATTCAGATAAACACACAGTTGTTTTGGGGACAGGCAGAACTTAATGACATCTACCTTAAGTCTGTGGTAGTCCAAAAGGTTCCGAAATGTCCAAATTACATGGCCACACCGATGGAACGTGACTGAGTAAAATCCCCGAGATCTGATCCATTCAGCCCAAAGCATTTGAGTCTGGGTACTCGAGGCACGAACCAAGCCATCATAAAGGCAAGCAGCGTGATCTGGTCCAAATTTGCTGCCGACGACTTCCTTGATTGTAGATAAAACCAGCAACCATCCGAATCCAAAAAGCAGGAACCAGTTATCGTAAATCCAATTAAATATGCGTCCTTAAAATCCACAAATGGCAGCAGAGATAGACACATCATCGAGTCTTCCAGTCGATGAGATATCCAGCTGTGTGCGTGCCAACAGGGCAAATCGGCTCACCTAAAGCCTGTCTTCTCTTCGAAGAAATGTTGTAAATTGAGATGAGGGACCAACTGATCAAAACAAGTCCATAATCATGGTTCAGAAGATGCAAGAGAGGCTCAGAAGCAGTTTCACAGACAGAGCAAAGCAAAGCGGACAGGGAGGGGATGGGAAAGCGTCTGATCTCGGCAAGAGTAAGTGGTGAAGCATTTAGCGACTATCGGGGTGAGGGCTACTGGCCGATAGTCATTCAAACCAGTCACTGTAGAGCTCTTTGGACTGGGATAATGGTGGTGGTCTTCAGGAAGACGAGAACTGTTGTCAGTGTGAGGGAGGAATTAAAGATGTCGGCCAGCATCTCGCAGTGCTGATCGGCACAGTCTTTCAGCACCTTGCCAGGGATGTTGTCTACAAGTGTCGTTCCTGATGCTTTTAAACATGCAGTTAATCCATTAATTAAGAAACCTGGACCTGACCCTTCATCTCGCTCAAATTTCAGACCAATGGCAAAACATCCCTTTCTTTCTGAAATTGAAAATAGTTTTCATTCAATTAAACAAGTATTTTTTAATGTTTGTAATAATTTATCTGCTTCAGTGCCCCTTTCCTGCGGGGTCACACAGGGCTCGATTCTTAGATCCCTTCCGTTTTCATTGTATCTGTCCCCTTGTGGTCTACCCTAAGAAAACATGGTTTTTCGTTTCATTGTTATGCTGATGACTGTCACATTTATTTGCTCTTAAAACCCAATAGTTGTTGCTCCAATCACCCTCTGTTAAAATGTCTTGATATCAAAGCATGGATGGCTTCAAATTTTCAAGTTTTAATGATCAGAAAACTGAAGTCATTGTGTTTAGCCCTAGCTCTACTACCGTCTCTGTTCCTGTAAACCTTGAATCTATTGAGCCATATCTTAAGCAGTCTGTTACAAATCTCTGGATGTTTTGAGACTGATTTTAAGTTTAATAAGCAGATTAACTTTGTTGTACAAAAAAAGCTTCTTCCAGTTAAGGCAGATAGCTAAGCTCAAGTCCGTGTTGACCAGACCTGACCTTGAAAAAAATAGTCCATGCATTAGTTACAACCTGGCTGGACTACTGTAACATGCTTTATGTTGGGGTCAGTCTGGTGTCCCTTTCACGCCTCCAGCTCGTCCAAAATGATGCAGCTCAGATACTGACAGGAACTCGTAGGTTTGAGAACATTTCACCAGTTTTATCCTCCCTTCATTGGCTCCCTGTGCGTGTCAGAATTGATTTTAAAATTCTCCCGTTGACAATTAAATGCCTAAATGGCCTTGCACCCTCATACTGCTCTGACCTACTTCAACCATATGCTCCATCTGCCAAACCAACATTAGACAGGCCACTTCACTTCCTGTTTTTAAATCTCTCTTAAAAACTCCCCTGTTTTCACCGACGTTTAACACAGTATGATCTGATTTAGTATTTAACTGATTCTCATTGTTTTTGTGTTTGCATGTTCTTATTTTGATGCTTTTAATTAGTTTTTTTTCCTTTAATTACTGCCTTGATCTTATTGTTAAGCACTTTGGTAACAGCTGCTGTTTTAAACGTTTTATAAATAAATTTGACTTGACTTTGCTATGTTTATCATGTTCCACTGAGAATAAATTATGGGTTCATGAGACGGTCCGTTTTGCCTCACCTGGTTGGTTCTGGCCATTTTCTCCACATCTTGTACCGCAGCCCTGGACTTCTTGGACTTTCTGGGACTCTTGTCTTTCTCAAAAAGAACATTCTGAAAAAGAACAGAGATGTTCAAATGGAGTCAGAACCTTCAGGATAAGGTGTTGTGGAGCCAAGTAAAAGCAGGTCAGACCAACTGGACCCACCTTTTTGGTGCTGGTGGTCTTGTTGGAGACGTCAGCGGCCATCAGAGGTGTTTGTTCGGTTGCGGTGCCTTCAGGGTCTGTCCTCTTGACAGTTCTCATAATGGACCTGGGTTTTTTAGATCTGATCTCTGATTTTGGAGGGACGATGATCCCAGGTCTAACTTTGGACACTGGACTCAGACTGGAGAGGAGGTTGATTCTGGGCTGATACGAGGGCTGGGGAAGTGTGCTGCTTCTTCTGAGGGGTTTGGGAAGACGGCTGAAGTTAGGGATGATGGGCGGAGGAAGAGGAGGAAGGGATGATGATGAGGAGGGAGTGATGGGAGTTTTTCTCCCAAAGGAAGGTAACGTCACCCTCCGGTTCTGCTGCTCCTGTTTCTGGACTCGCAGCAGAGCGATGTTGATGTGACGAGATGGTTGCTTGTTCCCGAAGATGGGAACCATAGGAGGGGGCTTCACTGGGTCCAGGCTGGGGGGAAGTGAAGGCGGGAGGACCGAAAGGGAGGAAGCTGGCTGGAAGACGGGGTAAAAAGGAGACGAGGAGGAGGAGGATGGTAAGGCCCAGCCTGTCTGGCTTGGTTTCACAAATGTATTCTCATTGAAGCCCCGAGCTCCTTCCTGCTGGGACAGTGGGGTCCAGGTGGACCTCTGGAACCCCGAGGAGCAGCTCACAGGTTGGGACAGAGGAAGAAGAGGAGGAGGGGGCTGGGTGAGGACAGGCCTGATGGAGATGGAGGAGGTCAGATTGATCTGCTCACCGTTCATGACCTGAGGAACCACAGAGACTTCAGCTGACCAAAACCTGAACAAGAACCGTAAAGAAAATCCCCAAACCCAGATCTGCAGTCGGGGACTAAATCCAGCATCTCCATACCTGGACTACAGGACTAGTATGTGAACGACAGGACTAGTCTGTGGACTACAGGACTAGTATGTGAACGACAGGACTAGTCTGTGGACTACAGGACGAATCTGTGGATGACAGGACTAGACTGTGACCTACAGGACTATTCTGTGGATGACAGGACTAGTCTGTGGATGACAGGACTAGACTGTAACCTACAGGACTAGTCTGTGGATGACAGGACTAGTCTGTGACCTACAGGACTAGTCTATGACCTACAGGATGAGTCTGTGGATGACAGGAC